ACACCCAAACCCATTGCAGTATGCCTTGTTTAGCAATAATGGTCCTACACCAGGAAAATATGTAATGAAAAAACCTATTACACACTTTATGTTTCTATAAATTCTATATATTTTAAATTTACCTACTGTTTCTGTGTTTTTGAAATAATATCAGTTGTGGGTCTGATGGCAATTTTTAGAATATATATTTTTAATTGCATTTTAATTATTTTGCCCTTTTATTTTGCCTTTTTATTGTATTTTAAATGCTGTAAGCCGCCCAGAGACCTTTGGATAGTGTGGGCGGCTTATAAATTAAATAAATAAATAAATAAATAAATAAATAAATACATTTTGCAAAAGTATCCGCACCATTTAATACTAACTCTTCAACAGTTGAACCCATAGTTTTGAAATACCTGGAGGAATAGATTTGATCAAGGTCAAAAGGAAATAACTCACACTGCATTCTTGCTTCCTTGTATCCTACATAGTTTGTGTCTTTGTGAGTGTGCCTGTGTGCGTGCCATTACTTTTCATAGTCTGGAAAGTGATTACTATATTTTTGAAAACCAGAGCCTCCCTTTTTGATTTTGACAGTCATTTACATATGCATTCTCTAAGAGAAAGCTTTCTGTTATTATAAAATTTATTACTGTCAGTATTCTGGAGAATAGTTGTTGAAAGTACTGTAGCTTTAAATAATTCAGTCTTTACGTCCCTTCTACATGCAAGGAAGGAAGGGGCCTGACATATCTCTGTTGGCACTTTATTCCAGAAACTATATGACACAATGAAAAAGACACAGTTCCTTATATTCGCCTTTTGGTTTGTAAAAGTGTCCACGTCTTTCGGTTTCTTTAACTCTGTGTGTCCTGTTTGGAGTTCACAATTTGTTGGGACTGTGATACATATTTGGCATTCTTAAAAATATTTAGGATTGCATGTTAAGGAAAGAATCAAAACAGTTCTTCAAAAGATTTTTATTGGGCAAAAACCTGTTGCATAAAGTTATGTCAGCATAAAGTGGGTATGGTGCTGTAACTAATTAAATCAAATTAATTGAAAGCTTCCTATCTCCCCTCACACACCCCCATCTCAGGTTCCAAGGCTCCCTAGGAGTCCCTTTTGGGTGACTCAGAGGAAGCAGTTGTTAAAAACCACTGCTGGATGACAAAAAGGAGCCCTAGGGAATCTCAGAACCTTAAAGGGGCATACGAAGTGTTCCGTTAGTTTAAATTATTTCCTGCATCAGATCTGGTTTATGCTGTCATAACTTTACACCAGCAAGATTTTGCCATTGATTTTGATATGAGCAGTTTTCAAATCTACAGTTTTGCACCGCAGTGCTGTGCCTTAAGAGAAATTACTTACTTGTTAGAAAAGCAAAAATCGTACCTGCAGGAAATCTTTGCAATATACAGTATATTAGGCTTACACGGAACAATTGCACAAGTGAACAATAAGATGTTTGTTTTATAGAATGTAGCATACTGAGAATTAGTAAGGATGCTCTAAAAATCACCACACTTACTACCTCTGTGTAAATAGGAAGTACACAGCCCCATTCATTGGTACAGAATTCAAAATTTAGACTCTTATCTCATGTCCTTAAAAAAAAAACAACAGCTGTAGTCACAGAAACTCCATTGAGTTCTTTCCTCTTCAGGTTTTTATCTGTTCAGCTGCAGTGCTTCTTTTCAGCCAGACTTGTTAATTAGATGTCCATATTGCAGTTGTTTAATAGAGTACCCTGAGTGCTGATATTGCATGTTGAGTTATGTTGTGTGATCACCAGAAAAAGGAGCAAACCAGCCGGATCCCTCAGTGAACCAAAGAGTGGGCTAAATGCTCATCTGATCACAGGTGTAGCATATTAGGACTAGGCTCATTTCTCCTTCCCTCTTAAGCTTCTTCTGTACAAGGAGGGATGTGCATTTCTATTTTCTGTCAAAATTAGAATTAGAATAGAATTAGAATATTAGAATTTTAATAGAGTATTCTAAAAACCTCCAAAGAAGGAGAGTTCATTACCCATTTAAGAAGGCCATTCCATTGTTGAATAGCTTGTACTGTCAAGAAGTACTTCCTAGTGTTTAGGAATCTACTTTCTCATAATTTGAATCCATTGTGTTAGGTCCTGCCCTCTGGAGCTGCAGAAAACAAGCTTGTCTCATCTTCCACATGAAAGTCCTTTGAAGAGGGCTGCAATATCACTATCCTTATCGGAAAGGGTATCCTTAAGAATAAGACTGTGTCGGTCAAGACCAAGATAATCCATACCATTAATTGTATTCCTAATTGTAATTAGGAATTACTAATTACCAGTTGGAATTGTATTCCATTAATTGTATTCCTAATTAATGTGTACAAATGTGAAGGCTGGACACTGAAGAAAGCTGTCAATGAAAAAAAAAACACTTCATCTGATGTGCCATATTGGATGAAAGTTTTACATGTTACTATGAACCACCTGAAGGAGTGATAAATCAAGTCTGGATTTTCTCTAGAAACAAAAGTTGAGAAGAGAGTTGAAGGTAGCAGAAAAAAAATTGATTGACTTAGTACAAGAACCTACAGCCTTCAGTTTATAAGAGAGCAGCAAGACCGTTAATAATAGGCCTTTTGAGGTGCTGTCGCTAATTCACAGAGTTGCTGTCAAGTTGGAAGTGACTTGACAGCACATAACAACATCATGTCATTCCAATGTCTTCCTTTCTTCAGGCTAAAAACACCCAGTTGAGTGAGCTGTTCCTTACATATTTGTGAACACATGTTAAAGAGAAATATATGCAATATTGCATTTACTGGATTTTCAATCCGTTCCCAGACTTGTGGGGAGGGAATCCTCTTAAGGAATGTGAAGAAATTACAAGGGGTTTGTGGGATTGTGAGATTTGCATAATGAAAAATATTTTCACCAGCTCCAAAGAATTTTTTATTTTCAAATTTTCCAACACAAAATTAAAGTAAAATAATTCTTGCTGTGCTTATTTTTAATTTTAAATTTAGAGTGCAGTGTTGTTTTTAAAAATAGAGTAGGGTGATGGTAAAGGAGAGATAAGGATGCATAAACATTTGTTGGACATTAAAAAGGAATGTGATGTTTTGGGAAGCAGTGATTTAATTCATGAAACTTCTCTACTCTTCAGTTGTTCTGGCATGCCACCGGCAACGGACAGCCAGTCATACAATTCCTGCTGAAGCATCAAGACTTACTAGATGGGGCATGGGAAAGATCAAAGAGAGGTTGTTGCAATGCAGTGTTGTTACCGCTTACATAAAATTTCAGGAAAGAAAAGGAAAATCATCCAAGAAACTTGTCATGGGGGAGAAATCCAGATAGCTTAAACTCTTAGCAGGTCATAGAATTCCACCTTAAATAGTCTTACTACCTCAGAATATTTGATAGATTTCCCAAGGAGCCATTTCTGAAATGGAATGCAGCATGTTTAGTTATATGCTAGAAAGTGGCCTGAATAGGAAAAATCATAATAGCTTCAAATGAGTGTTGAAACGAGTCAAGGTGCGACTGCACTGGCCCTTTTAGTGGGGGCTGGGTCGCTTGAGGTCAGGGGGAGAAGCAATATGCCATTAGGCATGATCCTCGCATGCAAATGGCCTAACAACCTCAAGCAGCCCTCTGTCTCCTTCCACTGTCATTGAACACTTCCATTGATCCTCTGTGGAGGTGCAGTGGAAGTGAAATTCTTATTTTTGCCTGTGCTAGACCATCCTTGATGCACTGAATAACTCAAAACTACTTTTTCCCCTCTTTGCTTTGTGTGTAACACCAATGAAGACACTTGCCACAGCTGGCATTTCACACAAAAGCAAATAAAACATTTTTTTTTTAAAATTACTTTTAAGTGATTCAGTGCAACAGCAATGACTAGTAGAGCCAAAACAATTTCCTTTCCTCTGCCCCTCCTCAGAGGACCAGGGAAAATGTTCAATTTGAAATGGTCTGCTCTAGTCATTATGTCGTGTGGTTGCCAGAAAAAAGAGCAAACCAATCCACCCCATCAACACACCAAACAGTGGGTCAAATGCCCGTTTGAACAAGCCCACAGTCTAATAAGAGAGATAAACGAGTTAAAGCTTAGAAGACTGCACGTGAAAAGGCACTGCTGGAGCAGTCTTGACATGTAGTTGAAAGCAAGTATCAGTACCCAGGGCCAGGAAGTACATTTTTTTTAAAAAAAAAAACAAACCCACTTTCATTCCACCTTTTCTGTTTCAATTCAGTTTAAGAAGAAAATAGCTTTAATCAACTTTTAGGAGAACTAATGTTACAGTTCATTTTGAACTTTACAGTCATAAATTATCAAGCATTGTAATAACTTTGCAGATCTCCTTTTGGAAAACAGTTTTGAGAATCCCTTTTGGATGAGGACATGGCGAAAGAAAGCTGGACTTACTCTGTTACCATTTTTGGAAGGGTCATTCCTGTGTCATTCTGTTATTTCCGAGTGAAATTACAGAATTAATATATGTGGAACTTAAGAGGTGTTAAGTAGCTGTCTTTGAAATAATAGCTGCAATATGATGATCTGGTATCCGTTTGCATTGTAGCTGTTCCCATTCCAGAGGAGATAAAATGCTCATCCCTTTCAAATGTGGCTTGCCCTTTGCTGGTGTCTAATGTCTGGTTTAGAAACTGCAGAGGTTCATCTGGTTGTGGGAAGGGCATCACCCTGTAATAAAGAGGAGGCTCCTCTTTCTGCTTAGACTACAAACCATCCATATTCAGCAACAGAAAAAGGGGTAGAAACAGTTCCTCAGATTTCAAGATGCACTGTCTTTGATCTTCATTATTTTGTGTCACAAATAATCATCTAGAATATAGTTAGCAGAGTAAAATGCTGTTAATGCATATTATAGACACTCCAAACTTTGAATTACAAATCCATGTAGTCAGCCGTACTATTGAATTACAGAAGATGGAAAAAGTAAGCTGTATTTGAGGTGTCTAATTTTCCCCTGAAGTCTCACTCCTATGCTTCTTTATCATTTTATAGGTTATGGCCACACAGTGCCTTTGTCAGATGGAGGAAAGGCTTTCTGCATCATCTATTCTGTCATTGGAATCCCCTTCACACTGCTTTTCCTGACTGCAGTCGTACAACGCATGATAGTCTATGTGACCAGGCGGCCTGTTCTATATTTCCACATTCGTTGGGGTTTCTCAAAACAAATCGTTGCCATCATCCATGCTGTGACCTTGGGCTTTGTTATGGTCTCCTGCTTTTTCTTTATCCCGGCAGCGATATTTTCTGTCCTTGAAGATGATTGGAACTTCCTGGAATCCTTTTACTTTTGCTTCATTTCCTTGAGTACCATTGGCCTTGGTGACTATGTTCCAGGAGAAGGCTATAACCAAAAATTCAGAGAGCTGTATAAATTAGGAATTACATGTGAGTATCAAATGACTGGGTAAAGACTGAGACTTAGCTGGCACATTTCCCTTCTTATTGACTTCAGTTACTTGTATAGCAGCAGATAAAGAACAATCCAAAAGTGATTTTCAAAATGGTTATCAAACTGTGTTAGGAATGTGTGCATGTGCACCTTCATGCAACGTTGAATAGAATTACTTCTTCAAATGTAACTCCAGAATGGTGTAGAAAGAGCTGTATCAGTTTTGATAGAACCCTGTTAGTCAATCAGTTTATTGGACTCTGGCACAAATTTTTAAGATCCACCTGCCTTCCTGTTAATCTACTGTAACCAATTAATCAATAAATCATAGCACAACTAGGCAATTTAAGGTTACTTATGATGGGCATTGGCTTATATCATTTGGCTGTACCACTGCGATTGGCCCTAGCTCCGATAAGGCCCTAGTGATGTGGCATTCGAGCAACATCTGGAGAGTTGTGTGTTCCCTACTCAGTGATTAGGCAAATCAATGAAGGATGGTTCTGTCAATGGCTGTTAGAAAATATATAGACTGTTAGAAAATATAGGCTCCAGGATAGGTACATGGAACCACTGTACTCAGGCTCATGGCCATTTGAGGTCCCATATGGTGGGGGATTCTGGGAAAGCTTCTGGTTGCCCAGCTTTAGGGAGGATATTATAGCAATGGAAAGAAAACTGAAATGTAACTGAAATGAAAAGATGGGAATACTTTTTCTGCACAAAAAAGTTTGTGTGTGTTTTTTTAATGGAGCTCTTAATTTAGAGAAAGGTCACCTAAAGAGGGAGCATGAACACGTTTTTTCTTTAAGTTTGGATAGTATGGAGAGAGGAGAACATAATTTCCCCCTCCTTCATCTCTTCCGCAACAGCAAAGTTCAGGCTCACTAGTGAAAATGAACAGCCTTCAATTCAGAACAGACCAATAGAAGAACTATTTCACACAAAATATTGTGGAATTCTTTGCCTCAAGATGTAGTGATGACCATGTGTTTTAGCAGCATTTTTTTTAAAAAAACATGGAGACAAATTGAGATGGGCTATGTTAATGGCTGCTTGCCATTTGAATGAAATAGAATATCCATGTTCAAAGGTACTATACCTCTGAATAGCAGCTGCTATGGTTAAAGAACTCAAGGCATTGCCTTCATGCCCTACATGTAGGTTTTTTGGAAGTATCTAGTTAGCCACTGTAGGATGTAGCATGCTGACCTAGATGGACCACAGAGCTGCTTCTATGATTCTTTGGTTCTGCCATTAGCCAGAGGCACCATATACGTGCAACCCTTATTTTTATGCACAAACCTCACTAAGACTGAAATAGGCTCACTTCCTTTGCTGGCCAAAAGAGGCTAAAACACTTCTGGCTCTTGCTGACCTACTGTGCTCCATGCTCATTGTTAAAATGGGTCTGCCACCAGTAGAAAGATTCCTAGCATTTTAAGATAGGCTGCAGCCTTTAGACCCTCCCTCTTTATTTTCAACAGTAACCTGCTCTTTCTCTTGTCATCTGCCCAACAGGTGGTGTGCCATGTTAAATGCAGGTATATGACTAATGTCAAACGGGGTTGTTGTTTTTAATGAAAAGCAGCCATAGTAGGCTGCAGTTTTGCAAAGAATAAAAGCAGGAAGCAACAAAGTGCACATCTCTTTTCTTAGATTCTCTTTAACTCGTACTGAGAATTCTCCACACTAGGTGATTTTTTCCTTTGTGGGGCTGCAAATGCATGATTTACAAAGATATGAGAGGTTAGCAAGAGAAAGAACTCATGACACATACAGCTAATTTCAGCCCTCATTGTTTTGAATTGTTCATCACATGCATTTATGCTTATTATGTACAGTATTTTAAACCTTTGACCTTGGGTAGGCTTTTCGCCAGGATTTGAATATATAATAAACTGAGCAATTGCAATTTTATTTTTAAAAATGTGCAGAAAACATGATCATGAGTCTCAGAGGTATTTTTGACTGATCCAGTGCAATGTGGCAATTGGAGTAAAATTTTTGGGGTGTAGATAATCTTAATTAAAAAATCACTAGGTGATTTTAGGCTTTAATGCAAACTGTCAGTATAAAATACTATTCTAATCTCTTTGAAGAAAAAGGCAAGATATAAACTCAAATAGATTGCACATTTTATAGATTGCTCACTGAGTTAGTTGTCAGGCTGTGGAGCCCGAGGTTGGGAGTTCCATGTTGTGTATCTCAGAAGAGCCAGACCGTGTGACCCTGGGCAAGCTGCAAAGTCTGAGTATTCTCTCCCCAAAACCCCCGAAAAGGGTCTCCATAAGTCAGAATTGACTTATTGTTGTTGTTGTTGTTGTTGTTGTTGTTGTTGTTGTTGTTGTTGTTATTGTTGTTGTTGTTGTTGTTGTTGTTGTTGTTGTTTGTTATTTTTATTATTTTTATTATATTATTATTTTTTATTATTTTTATTATTTTTATTACCACCAAATCGTATTTTAAGCATTCTTCTCATTCCTTCCTAGGTTACCTGTTGCTGGGTCTCATTGCAATGTTGGTGGTTCTTGAAACTTTCTGTGAACTTCATGAACTCAAAAAATTTAGGAAAATGTTCTATGTGAAAAAAGACAAAGAAGAGGACCAAGTGCATATAATGGAACATGACCAATTGTCCTTCTCTTCAATTTCTGACCAAGCAGCTTCCATGAAGGAAGATCAGAAAGTAAATGAGCCTTTTGTGACTCCTCAGTCTATGGTTAATTGTGATGGCTGTATAAACAATTAACAGAAGGTGTCTGTCCTAATATCAATAGTGCATTGAGCATTCTTGCAGTTAGAACTAGTACCATTAATGAAACTATAGAGGCAGGAAGGCTGTGCTATATTATTAAGTATCCATCGTTTGACGATGTCTTACAGTGTAATGGCTAAATAGAGTTTTCTTTAGCTGGATCTACATTCTGGGAATGTTCACTGAAACATAGTGTGCAGCTTGGGAGCCCTGAATCCATGGTGTACATTTAGGATGTAAAATAGGTAGGGGTAGATTTGAAAAATAGCTCCATTATCATTTCCCTTTCTCAGGGATCCTCAGTCTTTATGAAGTGGTGAAACAGATTTGGAACTAAAGGGGTGCCATCACCAAAAGGCTATCATGGGGGTGGGGGTGTACCCATATTTAAAATGATTGTTCTGATGGGCACGAAACACCAGTTTCATAGAAAGGCACACTGATGGGACTAAACATCTTGCCCAAGAATTTGAATACAAGACAGAGATGGAGTGTAATTTTCAAAAGAAACAATCCTATCTGTTGAATCTCTAATTCCCTTGTCATCTTTTCTCCTTTGGCATCATTCTGCCATAGGTCACTTATTCTCCAACTTCACAGAGCAAACACAGGATTCTGTTGATTCTCAGTTCAAATGTGTTCATGCACAAGCTCTTTTTGGGCAGGGTTCCCAATTCTGTGGAGCACTGTAAATGTTACACTGTCTTTCAGATCTTCCTCATCAATATTGCGAGTTAGAGGCAAAACCCAAGCATGTACCCCTGGTTTACCATTATAACTGATTCCCTCCTGGGCAGTTACCTGAAGAGAGCTATTCTGTAGCCCTAATCGGGTAGTATGCCTGAAACGGAAGACTAAATGGCTAGTGAGCATGGGCTTATGTACATAAGTCACTTCCCTGGGAGAATGGCAGAATATAAATAAAGTAAACAAATAAGCCTCACTCCCATGTCCGCAACCTATCCAGATGCCAGCAGGATATTTTTCTTGTTTATATGAAGTCTGAAAAGGAGTCTGTAACTGTGTTCAACTGAACAAGGTTACGATGCTCCTATGACCAGGAACTTTGAAAAGGTAGGGCTCCCAATTATAGGTGTGCTGTAATTACTGAAAATGCTTCCAGGCTCCTTTGTAGATATTTATATTAAACAAAAAGTTCTTGTAAGAGAATAGGGCTTACATGCATAATGCCTGAACAGATCTTCTCTCACAGAATTACCACCCTCAACTTCCCTCCCCCTCTACATCTCCCCAAGTACATTTTTTTCTTTCTTGCATAGGTAAAGGTAAAGGTTCCCCTTGACATTTCGTCCAGTTGTGTCCGATTCTAGGGTGCGGTGCTCATCCCCATCTCCAAGCCATAGAGCCAGCATTTGTCCAAAGACAATTTCTGTGGTCACGCAGCCAGAGCGACTAGACACAGAACGCTGTTACCTTCCCACCATGATGGTACCTATTTATCTACTTGCATTTACATGCTTTCGAACTGCTAGGCTGGCATAGGTACTCTTTAATCATACATTCAGATGCATAATCTTGTACCCTATTTATTTATTATGGAAGCCCATGATCTCTATTCTCTGCTAGTCCCCAGTTTACCTCATAGCTGAATTTTTCATCCCCCCATCACCTTGCACCGTTCTCTGGTATGCAGCACCCCAGGCTTATGAGACAAGCAAGAAGCAACAGGGCCCATTTCTCCTCCCTCTCTTTTATTGTGTGCTAGGTTTCAGTTGTAAAGCAAAGCGCCTGTTTTCTGTCTAATATCTTCATTCCTCAGATATGCTTCTGGGCCCATGTCAGGTTCAGAGATATTCTGGAGAAAGGTAAGAAAGGTGTTGTCTGGTTACATCTCTTACAGTTATGCAAGGCTGAAACACACACATATACCCCAACCACGAAATATGTTTGTGGGTACCATGGCACACAGAGATGTCACGTTGGGGATCACAGCCCTACTCCCTTTTTTCATCCTCCAAGGTTCATGACTCGTCAATATATAATGAGCCTTGTGATGGTTCAGGTACATGAGCAGAAACTGAAGAGTTTTTAAGAAATGTTTGAAAGAAATCATCATGCTTTCCAGGCAGTGTTGAGTTGGGAGGAAATACTGTTGTAGTTTTCCTTCATGAAGAACAATAGTACAATTTTGCCAGTTGCCTTTCAGTGAGGTTACTTAATGTTATATAGGGGTCAATGCACCATGAGTTGTGCCTATACTCACACCTTAAAGAGCTTAAAGATTCCAGCCAAGTGCATTGTATCATTTCTGGGTGGCCTCTCTCACTGTGATGCTGGAGTACAGCTGCTCATCTTGGATATGCATCTTGGTATGGACAAACACAGACAGACATTCTAATGTGTGACAGAATGTAGATCGAACACTTAACTTGCTTTATGCCAAGCGCACTGTGAATGTATGTCTGATTTCATTCATTAAACATTATTCCTCTCTGTAGCCATTAGTGAGCAAGACTTCTATATCTGGGTGCTTTCCTTCTGGCCTTAAACAAACAAACAAACAAATATTAGAAGGGCATTTTGCAACTGATTTAAGTAGATATACAGGATAAAGGACCCATGAACACCAGCAAATACAGCACTGCAGGCACAACACAGGGGAAAGCCATCTTCCTTAGCATTTATCCACACATTTTTGGCTCTGTCTTTATCCAATAGGCTTTGATTCTCAAGCTATTTGTTGCCAAATGGTTTCAGAATCATGGGTCCTTATCCATATAAAGTAGTAGATGAGCCAAATGTAGAAATATCTAGACTTTTGTGAGAAGACAAAAATACTTGAAACTGTATCATCTAAAAGCTCTACATATGACTTTAGTTAATATTTATTAATAGATTTTGTACCTTTAATAGGACAATTGACTTTCTTGATAAACCTACTTTGAAATCTGTGAGAGCAGAAATTTATATTCAAGAAAACAACTCAGAGATGCTTCTTAAACTTGATTTCAAGTATGGCATATTTGCATGTTCTCATCAAAGTGGCTATTTTTGTACAGACTGTGTTTGTTCCATTCATAATGTTTATCCTTTGTATACATAAATATACAAATATATTTATCGATTGTGTATATGTTGTAGATTATCAGCACTTAAATATCCCAGATTCGAAATTCTGAACACTTCTTCACCCACAGATGTCTCTTTATAGAGAATCATTTACTTGAACTGTGGCACTGGAAAAAATGACTTAAATCCTGACCAAATGAATGTGTAAAGATAAGTTGGTATAGTTACAATGTTAAATTCTTAACTTTTTGATAGGCTGAGCCTATACTTTTCATGATGCTACTGTAAAGTAGCTTGAATGTTGTAGCTTTCACTGTTACTGCACCATGGAATTTTGTTTTTCAGTGAGGTTCTGTTGACATTTACTACATGGGAAAAGGTAGAACTTACATAAGCAGTTTTAAAGAGTACTGTATGCTCAGTTGCAGTGAAGATAGATACTAAAGCACAGAACTGAAGAGGCAAATGCCATAACTGTGTTGTATAGTAGCAATCATCATCTCAGACTTTTAAAGTGAAATAAATGAAGTGTGGCTCTACTTTTCCATTTTCTGAGTGAGTTCTTTAATGACATGTATGAAAATGCTTCCTGAGAGCTGAAAGGTATCTCAGGGCAGCCAATAGCTACACACCGGCTGACACACCCAAAGAGTGCTCACCAGTGGCTTCTCATCCTGATGGGAAGTGACCAGTGGGGTGTCGTAGGGTTCTGTTCCAGGCCCATTGTTGTCCAATGTCTATTAATAATTTGGTTGAGGACATGGAGGTTCATTAAATCTGCAGATGACACTAAAGTTGGATGGATTGCTAATATATTTGAAGACAGAAGGAGGACTCAAAATTACTTTAATAAATTAGAGAACTGGCCTAATGCAAACAAAACAAATTTCAATGGGATAATATGTGAAGTGCTGCACTTAGACAGGAAAAATTGGATGCACAATATTGAAATGGGTTAGAACTGGATAGGCAGTAGTACATGCGGAAAGGATCTATGGCCCTTAATAGATCACAATCTAAACCTGTGGCAACACTGTGATGCAGCAGCAAAAAAAGAAAAAAGAAAATACTATACCAAGGTGTATCAACAGAGGTACAGAGCCCAGATCAAGGGAAACAATAATATCACTCTATTCTGCTTTAGTCAGATTTCCCCTAGATTACTGTGTTTAGTTCTCTGCAAGAGGAATATCCAAAGCTGGAATGTATCTGGAGGAAGGGAACCAGAATGGGTAAGAGGTTTGGAAACCATGCCCTATGAGAAAAAGCCGAGGCACTTGGCCTGGGGAAGGGAAGGCAGAGAGGCAATATAATAGCCGTCTTCAAGTGTTTCAAGATCTGCCATGTGGGAGATGTAGCAGGCTTATTTTCTGCAACTAAAGAGGATAGGACCAGAAGTAGTAGATTCAAGTTACAAGAAAGCAGATTTTAACTAGATATTAGGAAGAATTTCATAACTTGACAGTCATTCACAATGGAATCAACTTCCTCAGAGGGTGGTGGACTGTCCTTCAGTGGATATTATTAAACAGAGATACAATGATCACCTGTCAGGGATACTTTATGGTACTGGTTTCCTGCATTGACAAAGGGCTGGACTCGATCCTTTTATTTTCATACAAACTCTATGATTCTGTGCTGTGCTTGTAAATCCTTCCGTCTTTTTCCAAATAGAACAGCAGAACTAAGAGCAGCGATCACCTGTTTGGTGCAGAACCATCAGCCTCATGAATCAGGGTTACTGGACTTGCAGAAAGAATTTAACAAAGTATTTGGGTGGGCAGGGTTGGGGAGAGTTATCCAAAGAACATCTCTCAATGTGAAGGAATGATCTCTCTTTATAACTAGAAACATTTTAAAAGCTATTTTGCCAGAGAAAGTTAAACTTGCAGGCATTGTACACATGTTCCAAAGGAAAATGTACTGTTTTCCCTGTGGAAAAATATTAATTTTATGCACGTTTAAAAAATCTACAATGTGTGCCTACAGTTTATCAGGTCATTTGCAGGATGTTGCCTACCTTGAGTGGTTAGCTGATGCAGAATGTCCCTGGCAGCTACAAGTACCCTTAGTGAGTCCAACAATGACTCCCAGCTTCATTTTATTTGTTGCTACCACTTAGGACCTGTCTTGTGTTATATACAGTGAGAACAGATACATGGATCCACAACAATCCTTCCTTACCCAAGAAGAGTTCACCTGAAAGCAAAACGTGATGAAAATGATATCGTTAGTTTTCCCCAACTTCATGCTCCCCAGATATTTTGAACTTCAGCTCCTATGAGCCCCAGCCAACACAGCAAGTGGTTAATGATGAGGTGGACTTTAGCTCAAAATATCTGGAGGAGGGCGGGTTAAGCAAGCCTGATGTAAATGCACTTCTCAACTGTACATACAAGACAAATAAATATTGAGAATTTGCAGTGCCATGGTCAGAATTTCAACGTGAAATGCAGTGTTGGCCCAAGGCATTTGCCACTTCATTTTCTGTGCAGCATGTAGAGAGAGATCCCTCATCTCTGGGTTCATCTGCACAAAATGCCATTGCACTTTTGTACCAATACAACGTAGAAACGATATACAATAAGCTATGAGGTTGTCACATAGCTGTCTTTCTTGCCAACAGCCTTTCTACGTTCGTTTAGTCATTTAGTCGTGTCCGATTCTTTGTGACCCCATGGACCAGAGCACGCCAGGCCCTCCTATCTTCCACTGCCTCCCGGAGTTGGGTCAGATTCATGTTGGTTGCTTCGGGGGCACTGTCCAACCATCTCATCCTCTGTCGTCCCCTTCTCCTCTTGCCTTCACACTTTCCCAACATTAAGGTCTTTTCCAGGGAGTCCTCTCAGGCTTAGAAACAGCCTTTCTAAGCCCCCTTTAAAGCATGAATTTACTACATTTGTATATCTTCAGTACAAGAAACTGTGTACATTATTAGCTATGCTCTTTGTTTATGAACACACCTCTTCTTTCTCATGTAGTTGGGTGCTGCAATTGGCAGTGGATATATCTAGTATTTAGTACAATGGAATGGAATGGAGTAGACCTGGTCTAGAGGGGCGGGGTATAAATCTAATTAAAGTAAAAGTAAGTAAAGGATATTCTTAACAGGAAGAGAGCAGAGCTTGGACTGCA